ATAGAAGTTCAGTGGAGTAGACAAAGGGGAATGAAGGGAAAGGAGAAAGGATAGGAAAAGGAAAGATAGTAGAATGACTTTGACATAACTTTCATATATATATATATATATATATATATATATGAAAGTTATGTGTGTATATACACACACACACACACACACACACACACACACAAATATACCACAATGAATCTCATCATAGTGTACATCCATAAGAAATTAATTTTTAAAAAATGACTATGGGTAAGTGGCAGAAAGATCAATAGAGGGAAGGGAGTAGGAGGTACGGGAAGGGAAGGGGAAGGAGAGGTATTGGGGACTGAATTAGAACAAGATATATTCCATGTTTTTATAATTATGTCAAAAAGGATTCTACTGTAATGAATAACTAAAATAAAAACCCCATATTAAAAGAAAATTGTCCAACAGAGGGCAAGAGAGTTGGGGTATTAACACACCAACTCCCATCTCAGTGATTGAGGGTTGCTCTTGGGCCATTAACTATCTGACACTTCTGGCCTACTCTGGAGTGAATTAAACCACCACCACACCAAGGTCAGAGAATGTCCTAAGATAAAAAGACTTAGGAGGTCCTCAGTGAGGCAGTGACAGCATGCACCACAAGGGTCACACTCAGGTTCATAAACAAACTGCCTCAGCCTCAGTCTGGGATTACAGGCGTACACCACTGCACCAACTGGTAGGTCTTTTGAAAGACCATTTCTGCCTTGCAGGTATTATTTGACTGTAAGTAAAGCAACAGAAATAGCTATTGGCTATTGACAGTGGAGCAAAAGCCATTTGGAACTGAAACCTTTACCATTTGCAATTCCCATCCCCCAACTCCAACTATACTCAGAGTAAATGAGGTCATCCCTTTCTGTAGAGTCAGCACAAGTCTGGGCAGAAGATGACACCATTGACACTCAGTTGAAAACTGAGACAGCAGCATTTAAAGTCACAGGAAAGAACAAAGGCTCAGGCTCCATCATATACTGTCTATGCAGGTAGCAATCATAATTACACATGATAGCCCTGGCAATCAAGTCCAGTGAATAGAGGAAATCCATCATAGTACCTGGCACCCACAAGAGATTTGCAGATAAATAAGAAGGCCCAAATACTGTTTTAATTATTCTTCTGGGAAAACAAAACAAAACAAAAAGCCTTTTTTAAAAAATTTCTGTTTATTAAAATAATACATATTTCTGGCAATTATAGAAAACTTATCATGTACAGAAAAAGATAAAGAAGGAAAAAAGATAGAACTTCATTTTATGATCTATAAATATGTAAACAAAATTTGTAAATTTTTAAATATGTAAATTTCAAGTCTTTTATAATGTAGTCATATATTGGAGCCAGTTGGGATCCTTATACATATATGGTTTTATATCCTATTTTCCATGTAGCATATGTAGGTTATATGATTCTGTATGTCACTGAAAATTCTTTCAAAAATTTCTGTCATCTCTATCATATTCCATTATCTGAATGTGCCACAAACCATTTGACAATTCTTCTTTGAATTTTCATTTACACTAACTGTGGTGAATTTTTCTCTGCTGGGCATTTGACATCTGGGTATTTTGTTGGTGTACTTCACATGTGGGATAAGAGAGTCAAAAGAGTCAAAAGACAATGAGTCCTGAAGTCTGAGGACTTGGTTATAACACCCTCCTTCTACCAATGGTCTTCAGTGGAAATCTATGACATACACACATGGCCTTCCTTGACTGGAGTTGTAGGCCAGGCCTGCTAACATACAGGATTAGAATCCTCCAGCATGCAGAAGCCCCAGAGATGATCTCTTCCCACATTCTCTTTGTTTTTCAGATAAGAAAACTGAATCTCAAAGTGGTTATGTCACTTGCCTGTTTTGGCAACTATCTACCACTTCTCCTGGGCACACGTGAAAGCCCTGGACAGGGCTCTCTGAGAGCAGAACCAATGAACTAGACTTGGCCAGGCCATTGGACTCCAGACTTGGGTTGTTTTTAGAAATTAAATTACATCATGACACAGAAGATAGACTGGCCAGACAGCCAACTAACCAGCCAGAAGGGAGCCTGAAAATGTACCTCTTTCCTTATCAGCTGACAACACATAAGATAGACTATCTTTTCCCACATTGGGAAGAACCACATGCTTTGGCCGTGTGCCTAGAAGCAAAAATAAACCTTTAGGGGACACAGTCCACTGGGTCAGACCAAGTCAATAAAACCCACAGGGCAAAAGGCAACAAAAGCACTTTTTTTTTTTTTTTTTTGCATTTATGCACTTTCGTGTGTTTGTAATACTGGGGACTGAACCCAGAGGTACTCTACCACTGAGCTACACATCTAGCCCTTTTTATTTTTATTTTTTAATATATTTTTTAGTTGTCAGTGGAACTTTATTTTATTTATATGAGGTACTGAGGATCAAACCTAGTGCCTCACACATGCTAGGCAAGCACTCTATCACTAAGCTATGATCCTAACCCCTTATTTTTTATTTTGAGACAGGGTTTCACTAAGTTGCCAAGGTCAGCCTTGAACTTGTGATCCTCCTGCCTCCACCTCCGAGTCACTGGGATTACAGGTATGTACCACTGTACCTGGCCCAAGAAAGCACTTGCCTAATTGAGCACGAGTTTGCCTCATTTCCTTTTTTATTTGTTGAACAAAGATTTGAACTCCCAGGTATAGGGCAGATTTTGCAGACAGTGTCAGGGCTCTGCTGCGACCCCTCAGCTTGTGAGTCAATTCTATTTAAGTAGTCTTTGTGGAAATCTCACAGAACTCTTCCATTTAGATCTCATTCTCTCAAAGTTTTTCATGTGCTATCCCCTAGCTACAAAAGAGGCTTAGAAATAGACTATTTTTGTTGGATACATTGCTAAAATCAGAGTTGTTTTACTAAGTGGGGAAGAGAGAGAATGGCTGTTGGGTTAGGTCACCAGCAGTCTGCCTTACCAAGAAAGATTCAAGGCTAACAGATGTCTGGTGCAGAAGCCTGGAGCGAGGACAAGAAACAGGGGTGAGTTGAATCTCCGCTTTCAAAACTGCTGAATCAGTTCTCTACTTCACACCTGCCTTACCCATGCAGAACACAGACAATCAGAATAAAAACAAAATTCAAAACGCTTAGTATCCATTGCCTATGACTGCATAACAAGTGACAGCAGACTTTTACAGTGTCAAATTACAAGGATTTATTATATCTTATCATTTTCTGGGTTGGCTGGGCTCAGCTGTGTGGCCCTACTGGTCTTACTTGGATTCTGTTATGCAGTCATTGGCAGCTCCCTCTGTTGAGGGTCTAAGATGGTTTTACGTCTGGCTGTGAAGCTTGCCAGGGTCTCACTGAGTTGCTTAGCGCCTTATTTCACAGAAGCTGGCTTTGAACTCACGATCCTCCTGCCTCAGCCTCTGGAGCCACTGGGATTATAGGCATGTGCCACCGTGCCCGACAGGGTATCAGCTCTTTAAGCAACCCAAACACACTAGTTCAAGACCCCAGAGAGCTCCCACAAGAATGCTTTCAAGGGCTGGGGCTGGGGCTCAGCGGTAGCACACTTGCCCTGGCATGTGTGAGGCACTGGGTTTGAGTCTCAGCATCACTTATAAATAAATATAATAAAGGTCTATCAACAACTGAAGAAATATATTTTTAAAAAAGAATGCTTTCAAGAAGCATGGAGTAAATTCCAAACAACAGGGAAAAAAAGGATAAGAAACTAAATGATAGTAGTCATGTAGTGAAGAAAGTATGTATTCCTTCTCTCAACAGCCAAAAAAAAAGGCCAATTAGAAACACCAGGAAATAAATAATAAATATACAAGAAATATCAAACAAAGAAAAATGTATAATTTTGAAAATTTGATAGTTTAAGTATATTACACTGATAGCATTAATGGTAGCCCTGTCTCCACACCCTTTGGTAGACTCAATTGTATTTGCCGTGAGACTTGATTCAGCCAATAGTACAGTGGCAAATTACGCAAGAGGAAAACATGAAAAGAGGCTTGCAAAATCTCTACTTTCTCTCAAAGCTTTGCTGCCCCCATGAGAACAAATGTTGGTTAACATGCTAGAAGGAGTTGAATGGGCTGGCATATACCTGTAATCCCAGTGGCTCAGGAGGCTGAGGCAGGAGGATCACGGGTTCAAAGCCAGCCTCAGCAATGGCGAGGCACTAAGCAACTCAGTGAGAACTATCTCTAAATAAAATACAAAATAGGACTGGGGATGTGACTCAGTGGTTGAGTACCCCTGAGTTCAATCCCTGGTACTGCAAAAAAAGCTAGAATGATATGAAAAATAACAGAGGAAGACTAAGCCAATTACCACAAGACAATCTGAGATTGGCCAGTGTTCAGCACAGTCCAGCAGACTTGGGAGTGGACCTAGAGCTCAGTCACATTCAGAGTCACAGAACTACTCAGCTGACCCTAGACTAGTGAGAGATAACAGATTGTTTTTGTTTTAAACCACCAAATTGGGGGTGATTTGTTACACTGCAATAGCTGACTGATGCAGAAACAAAGGGCATATTTTATTTGAATACTAAAAATATGCTTCTTTAAGTGATAAAGAGACATTTGACCTGTTGTCAAGGAAATGTAGTTTTGGCATTTCATTTGAGTCTAGTCAGGGGCAATATTTATATCATCGTCATAATGTGGACTCTGTTTTTTGAATTTTAATATTGAAGAATAAATTAAAAACAAAACCTAGGCCAAGCATGATGGTGCACACTTATAACCCCAGCTACTCAGGAGGCTGAGGCAGGAGGATCGCAAGTTCGAGAGCAGCCTAGAAACTTAGCAAGACCCTGCTGGGGATGTAGTTCGGGGGTAGAGAGCTCCTGACTTCAATCACTAATACAGAAAAAATAAATAAATAAATACCCAGAAGGCTTCATTATGGTTACAAAACATTCATTCTGTTTTGTAACCATAATGAAGCCTTCTGGGTATTTATTTATTTTTATCAACTTAAGAAATGTACTTTATCAACCTAAAAAATGTATTATCAACCTAAGAAATGGAAAAGTCAAAGGACAGCTGAGAAAACTTGAAAGGAGAGCAGGGGGCTTGAGAAAAGGGGGAAGAAGGCTTAGCAGCACTGTGTGTTCGTCTTTGGTAGGATCAGGAGTACTGTCAGAAGTTGAGGGAACAAGCACAGAGGTAAGTAAATGATTGAAGGCTGAAAGATAACCAACCAGTGCAGGGAGGAGATAGAAAAGCCAAACCAAATGAACACTCCCTGTGTGTTTTTTTTTTTAATTGAGATATGGAATATATGCAATGATATGCATGCATTGCATAATCTTAAGTAAACAGCTTGATGAATTTTTACACGTGTGTATATCAGGGCAACCATCACCCAGATTGAGATGTAGAACATTGCCAGCACTCCAAAAAATTCCCTCGTGCTTCTTTCTCATCAATCCACTTCCTCTTAGAAGTAGCTTCTGTTCTGACTTCTGCATCATCCATCTGTTTTGTCTGTTCTTGATCTTCAGGTAAGTGAAATTTAAAAGTATGTACTACAGATGGACATTATTCCCCTTTGTACCTGTATGATTGCACGAATGGTGTGATTCTGCCTCATGTACAACCAGAGAAATGAAAAACTGTGCTCCATTTGTATACAATGAGTTGAAATGCATTCCATTGGAACAAATTTTTTTAAAAGTTTATACTAGTATGTTTTTCTCCTTTCACCAAACATAATGAAATTCACTTACATTGCTGCACATCTTTGTAGTTAATATTTTGTTGTTTATTTTCATTGAACAGAATTGAACCCAGGGGTCCTGTATCACCCAGCTACATCCTCAGCAATTTTTTTAACAGATTCTCTCTAAATTACCCAGGTTGGCCTTGAACTTGCAATCCTCCTTCCCCAGACTCTCAGATTGCTGGAATTACAAGTATGCACCACTGCGTCAAGCAGTTCATTCTTTTTTTTTTTAATCAATGTAATATCCCAAATTCTTTTTTTCCCATATTTTTATTGGTGCATTATAATTAGTTAATTTTTTATTGCAATGTGATTTTCCATTGTATGACTACATCAGAGTTTATCCATTTTTCTGTTGATGAACATTTGGGTTGTTTGGGGCGATTATGAATGAAACTGCTATGGGCTTTCTTGTATTTGTCTATCTTATCTATTGGTGTAAAGCTCGCTTTTTTTTTTTCCTGGTGGTATTGGGGATTAAACCCAGGAGCACTCTACCACTGAGCTGTATCCCCTCTACCACAGCCCTTTTTATTTTATTTTGTGACAGGGTCTCACTAAGTTGCTCAGACTAGAGTGAACTTGAATTCTCTGACTTAGCCTCCCAAATCGCTGAGATTACAAGTGTGCACCACCATGACCAGTATGAAGTTCATTCCTAACTCAGGTCATTTTTACTTGCAGTTTCCTCTGCTTGGACCATGTTATCTCCAGATCCTTATATGGCAGGCTTCTTTTCACCATTGAGGTCACAGCTGTCAGATGGTGGCTGGGAGGAACAGCATGGGGCTGGATCATTGGGGACTGGCTGGGAACCTCTCTCTTCTTGTAGTTTCAGGGCCTCTCCTATGGTTTGTTTAGGTGTTAATTTGGCTGGATCACTTGGGGATTAGCTGGGAACCTCTTCTTGTAGTTTCAGGGCCTCTCCTATGGTTTGTTTGGGTGTTAGTTTGAGCTTCCCCACAGCATTGCAGCCTCAGGGCAGCTGGACCATTTACGTGGCCACTAAAAGTTTCAAGAGCAAATATTCCAGCAACTAAGGAAAGCTCCGTTGCCTTTTATGGCCTGGCCCTGGAGTTCATACAGCATTGCTTCTGCCATGTTCTACTAGTTACGGGTAAGTCATCAAACCACCCAAATACAAGGGTAAGGAAAATAAGCTCTGTGTCTTTTTCTCCTTTTGGTGCTGGGGATCGAACCCAGGGCCTTATACATGTGAGGCAAGCACTCTACCAACTGAGCTACATCCCCACCACTAAGCTCCTTCTCTTGATGGACAAGTGGCAATATTATAGATGAGCACATGAGATGGGAGATGCTGTTACAGCCAATTTTAGGGTGATCCACTCCATCCTTCTGTTCTAAACCCTATTTTGTTTTCTTCATAGTACCTTTTACTATTGGACATTATCTTATTTATTTCTTTGTTTTCCACCAGTCATCTTCCTTTACTAGAACATATGTTCTAAAATGGCAGGAACTCTTATTATTCTCTACCTTTTCACTAGTACCTGAATAGTACCTGTACATTGTAGGTGTTAAACACATTTTTTAATAAATAATAAGAATTTTGTAGCAGAGGATCAATAGCTGCCTCAGGATTATAAAACAAGTAATGGAGGGGTGGAGTTGTAGAGCACTTGCCTGGCATGTGTGAGGCCCTGGTTTTGATCATCAGCACTGCATACAAATAAATAAAATAAAACATCCATTAACAACTATAAGATATTTTTTAAAAACTAGTAATGGAAGTATAAGCACATTTTTAGAGATGTATACTTAACTAAAAAAAGAACTAAAACCAGAAATAGTTGAAAGTGGTTACCTGTAGGGTACAAGATGAGGAGAGGAAAGGTGGACAGAGAATTAGAGATTTTCTGTGCCACTTGTACACATGAGACTTTTTTTTAAGTTTCTTTTTTTAAACTCTTTTTTTTAATATTTATTTTTTAGGTGTAGATGGACACAACACAATGCCTTTATTTTTATGTGGTGCTGAGGATCGAACCAGGGCCCCACCCGTGCTAGGCAAGCTGCTCTACCGCTGAGCCACAATCCCAGCCCGAGACTTTTAAAATTCTATGCAGTTTTATTTTAATATTAAAATTTTGAAAAATTAAAAAGTTAATTGTAGAGCTGGATGTGGTAGCCAAACCTGTAATCCCAGTAGCTCAGGAAGCTGAGGCAGGAGGATCATGAGTTCAAAGCCAGCCTCAGCAAAATAGAGGCACTAAGCAACTCAGTCCCTGTCTCTAAATAAAATACAAAATAGGGCTGGAGATGTGGCTCAGTGGTTGGGCATCCCTGAGTTCAATCCCCAGTACAAGAAAAAAAAAACTCGTTATAGAAAATATAGGAAAACTGGAAGAGAATACAAAACTAACAAAACATTATTTGTAACACCACCACCTAGAGATTGCCATTGGAAACATCTTGGTCTTTTACCTTCTTGTTCAAATTATTTAAAACAGACTACTTTCTATCTTTCCTTTTCCACTTCTTTGTATTAATTATATTGTAAAGATTTGCTCTGGGCTAGAAATGCTACCTGGAAAAAAGTGTTTGCCTAAGGTTTAAAATTCTGTCATTTCCTGTCTACCCTACTTAGAGGTCTGTATACTTCTTTTTCTTTTCCTCTCTCTACCCTTATAGTCCACCCCAAACAATCCTCTTTAACCCACTCTGACCCCCACTTTCTTTCTCCCCTGTTCAGGGACTTTATGAACTCATCATTTATTCTTTTTCCTCAGTCACAGAACAATAGCGTGTGGGATTTGTTGTTGTTGTTGTTGCTTATAGCTATTACTGCTTCACCAAAACTTGATGGTTTAAAACTAAAACCATCCATTTATTATTTTCAACAATTCCATGGGCAGAAATGTGAACAGGGTACAGGTCCCGAATCTCCCTTCTAAGTGATGGAGTATAATGTCCAACATATTTGATGCTTTAGAATGACTGCAAAGGGTGAGACTGATTACAATAGGGGTCATGTGTCTTGGACTTCAGCCTAAGTTGTCAATCAGAAGCCAGGTCTCTGTGTGGTATCTCCCTGTGAGATCCTTCTGGTGGAATAGTCCGCCTTCTTGCAAAGCAGCTCTGGAAGGGCTAGGGCTGTAGCTCACTGACAGAGCACTTGCCTAGTATGTGCAAGGCCCTGAGTTCAATCTTCAGCACCACAAAAAACAAAACCCACACGCAAAGCAGCTCTGGGCTCCCAGTTAGACTTGGAACTCAAGGGCATTTCTTGAAAGTCGCAGGGATAGACTAGATTCAGGAGTAGGAACATAGGGCATCAGCACCAATAGGGGCAGGTCACTGGGAGCCACCATTGTAACAAACCTCCCTTGCGTCAGGCAGAAGTGAATTCAAATCCTCTCTTCTTGGTTTACTGACTATCTGGCCTTGGCCTAATTTCTTAACTTCTCTGAACCATTATTTCCTTGCTTATCTGTAAAATTAGCAGGATGTAATTCCTCCCAGGTAGGATCATTCTGTGTTTTGAATTGTAAATTGTACTGGCACCACTACTGCATGGAATTTCATAGAAAGGACTCAAACACTAGAAAGACATGTAAACTGTAAACCTAAGAGAAGTAAGCTCCTGGAAACCTGAAGAAATCTTCACAAGGTCTTTATTTATTTCATTATTGTATTTTTTTTTTTACAGTACTTGGGATCAAACCCAGGGCCTCATACATGCTAAACAAGCATTCTACTATTTAGCTACATCCTCAGTCCTTTTTTGAGGGGGGATGGGGGGAATGTGAATTTAAACTTCCAAGGAACCAAAAGTTGGATCCAAAGGTATTTATTTATTTTTAATTAATTTATTTATTTATTTTATAGTAAAATGCATTTTGACATATTGTATGCAAATGGAGCACAACTTCTTAATCCTCTGGCTGTACAAGATTCAGAGTCACTCCATTAGTGTAATCATATATGTATATAGTGTAATAATATCTGTCTCTTTCTACCATCCTTCCCATCCCATAACCCAACCCTTCCCCTCACTACCTCTACACAAACCAAAGTTCCTTCATTCTTCCCTATCCCCCAGCCCCACTATGGAACAGCGTCCGCTGATCAGAGAAAACATTGGGCTTTTACTTGGGGGGGGGGGGTGTTGGCTTATTTCACTTACCATGATTTTCTCTAGTTCTATCCATTTATCTGCAAATGCCATAATTTAATTCTTCTTTAAGGCTGAGTAATATTCCATTGTTATATGTGCCACATTTTCTTTATCCATGTTGAAGGGCATCTAGGTTGGTTCCACAGTTTAGCTATTGTGAATTGAGGTGCTATAAACACTGATGTGGCTGCATCCCTGTAGCTGATTTTAAGTCCCAAAGGTATTTAAATCTGAAGGAAAATACAAAAAAAAATGCAATCCCAATGGAAAAAAAAAATTGATATTGTTGATTCTGTTGTATGGTTGTGGGCATGCAGAATTTCTTCTCCCACCCCCCTCCATCTTGGCTTTTTTTTTTTTTTTTTTTTTCGCTTTACCAACCTCTGGGCTTGATTTTAAGTTTACTCTTTCTCTTCTTACCTCTCATGGCATAGTAACTTTTTATTCTCTCCAAAAACTTGGAGCTTCAAGAAACTCTCCCCATGTTCACTGACTTCCCCTTGTGAAAATTCTTTGTACAAAATGGACAGGGGGGTGGGGGCTAGGGAGGTAGCTCAGTGGTAAGGCACTTGCCCAGCATGTGGGAGGCACTGGGTTCGATTCTCAGCACCACATAAAAATAAATAAAGGTATTGTGTCCACCTACAACTAAGAAATTAAAACAAAAACAGAATGAACTTGGACCTGTCACAGCCCACTTGAGTGGGGTCAAGGGACCGTGGGAAAGAAGAGTAAATACTCAGGTCTCCAATGCCTGCTCCAGGAACTCTCTCACAGAACCAACCCCCCAAAACAGCCTGCCCTATCTTAAGACTCTTTTAAGACTGGGATCCTAATTAGGATAAGTTATACTCCATGTATGTATCATAAGTGAAAATATACTCTACTGTCTTGTATACCTAAAAAGAACAAATTTTTTAAAAAGACTGTTTTTACTTAGGAACTGATGACAGAACTGCCAACTCTGACCTCAAGACTCACTTTGAATTGTTATGACACCAGTCAGGGCTTGCCAGATCCCTCAAGCAACAAAAGTGCTAGTTGAGCTTTCATTCCCAACAACTTGTGCAGACTTCTCTGTCACGATAAAGCCCTCAACCTCTCCTTTGCTCTCCCTGTATCCCAGAGGTCACCCTGGCCTGTCCTTGTGTGGCCTGGATTGCAATCCTAGTCTTTGTTCCCAAAGAAAAGTTCCTTTGTTGGAGACGCCTGTGTACATTTCTTGTTTGACTTTGACACTCTCTAGAAACCTCCCAAAGCCTAGTTCCCATAACTGGTTACCTCTTAAGGCAGAAGAAACAGAGCTCACACCCCATAAGAGGTCCTCAGAACTGTGCCCTTCTTCCTGGCCTCCTGCCCGGTCCCTTCCACTATTAGGCCCCTCCTCACAGACTGTTTGAGGCTCCCGGGAACTAAAGAGATTTGTGAGTAAGTGACCTTTAACCCAATGAGAATCCTCCACCCACAATCTGGGCTAATCTTCTTAGGTGTTAATATTTAGCATTACCTTGTACTACTCAGCTCCCTGAACCCTACTCAGCAAAACCTTTTAAAACGCTTCCTTACTTCTTCTCCCTACTTTTTGTCTCGGTTGCTGTTGTTTTGAGCTGGGGTTTTACTGTGTTGCCCAGACTGGCCTTGAACTCCTGGGTTTAAGTGATCCTTCTGCCTCAGCCTCCCACACATAGCCAGGACTACAGTACCTGCCATTGAGCCTGGCTCCCCTACTCTTTTAATGGGAATTTCTGGTGTAGCAAAGGTCTGGTAAAGAAGACTATTCCTCTGAAAACCAAGCATTTGATGACAGACACAAGAATGATTTCTCAGAGTTGCTATCAATCACAGGCACATTATTAAAGCACATTATTAAAAATCTGTAATAAATGTACCAGTGAAGAAGGTGATCAGTGCTTTTAAAGCTTGGAAGAGCAGATTCTGGTTCTGCAGGTCCAGGGTGGTATCTCAGCTTCTGCATGTCTACGGAAGCTCCCAGGAGACATTGCTACCACTGCTCCTGCTGCTGCTGCTGCTGCTATTGCTGGTGTAGGAGCCATGGTCAGAGTGTTATTTATGGTTCTCCAGAGAAACAGAACCAACAGGACATGGACACACACACACACACACACACACATACACACACACACACACACCTCTGGCCAAATTATTATATGGTTGTGTATAGATATTTATTATGGAAATTGGCTCACAAATTATGAAAACCAAAAAGCCCCACAATCTTCTGCTGTCAGAAAACACTGATGATGTAATTCAGTCTGGGTCTGAAGCCCCCAAAACCAGGCACTCTGATGTCTGAGGACAGGAGATGGATGACTCAGATCAAGGAGAGAGAGATCTTGTCTTTCTTCTACCCTTTGGTTCTATTCAGATCCTCAGTGGATTGGATAATGTCTGCCTACGTTTGTGGGGTGGATCTTCTTTATTTAATTTACTGACCCAAATGTTAATATCTTCTGGAAAGACCCTCCCAAACACATTCAGAAATGGTGTTTCATCAGCCATCGGGACATCCCTTAGCCCAGTCAAGTGGACACACAAAAATTAACTGTCACACTTAGCAAGGAAATGCTACTAAGTAGTATGGGAAGGAAACGACAGGCGAAGGATGTCTTCCTGCAGCTCACAGCCAGCAAACATCTCTGTTTTTCCAGGCATCCCTGAACAGTCAAGGGCCTGGGTATGGGGTCAGAGAGAGCTGTGTCCAACTCTGCTTTCCATTTACTGTGTGGTCTCTGCCAAGTCATTTAACTTGTCTGTGACCCAGTTTCCACATGTAAAAACGGGGGTGGAGATCATATCTGCTTCACTGAACTGTCAAGGAGATTTTATGCCACCGTGAGTCTGATGGCTTAGCAGAGTATCTGGTACAGAGTTGGCCTCTAAAAGCAGCGCAGAGTCTTGCTATTGCAGGGACGGAATCCAGAGACTAAGCAGACTACGCAAGATTCAGCTAAGCAAGGGCCTGCTGGCTTCAGCTTTTCCATACTCCCAGTGAGGATGTGGCTATGTTTTCACAATTCCAGATTTAATAACAGCCATGTCAGTGGATGTGCTCCTGTGTTCTCTGATTAAATGGACATACTTGAGTCGCCCCAGGCAAAATGAGGTCATGCATCAGAAGCCTAAAAAGAAAGCTTCTTTCTAATTCCCTGTCACACCCTCTGATGTTGAGGTGTCTTTCACCAGTTTTGTTTTCTGTTTTTAAGTCCATGTGACACCGTTGCCTCAGATTCTTCTCAAATAGCAGAAAAAAGAAAACATTTCAGAGTTCTTATGAATTTTCTTCTCACACACACACACACACACACACACACACACACACACACACGGCTATTCTTTGGGTCCCTATACTCCCTTCCTAAGCTTCTGGCTTTTCCAGACCTCCTAATTAAACTGCAATAGCTGCATATCCTTTTAAAGGATTTATTCTGGGCCAGGTATGGTGGTATTTGCCTGTAATTTCAGAAACTCTAGAGGCTGAGGCAGGAGGATCACAGGTTCCAAATCAGCCTGGACAACTTAGCAAGATCCTGTCTCAAAATAAAATAAAAAGGGCTGAGAATATAATTCAGTGGTACAGCGCCCCTGGGTTCAATCCCCTAAACCACTAATTAATTAATTAATTAAGGATTTACTCTGTTTTGCTGGAACTCTTAAACCACTTGAAAAAAAACTACAGCTGGGCGCGGTGGCACACGCCTGTGATCCCAGTGGCTCCAGAGGCTGAGAAGGAGGATCCCTAGTTCAAAGCCAGCCTCAGCAAAAGCGAGGCGCTAAGCAACTCAGTGAGACCCTGTCTCTAAATAAAATACAAAATAGGGCTGGGGAGGCTCAGCAGTAGAGTGCTCGCCTGGCACGTGCGGGACCCTGGGTTCGATCCTCAGCACCCAATAAAAATAAATAAGTTAAATAAAGGTATTTAGTGCAACTACAACTAAAAAATAAATATCTTAAAAAAATAGGGCTGGGGATGTGGTTCAGTGACCGATGGTACTCCCCGCTCCCAAAAAAAAAAAAAAATACAGATAGCTCTGCCGACAACCAGAAAACGGAACTTTCCAAACTTTTTCTCTGGGTTTCTGCCTGTTTTGATTCTTACAAGTTACACCCACATGTTGTTTAAATTTTACTGATGATTCAGCAGAAGCTGCCACCAGCAAAACCAGTTGTTTTAATGGCTGAGAACACCCTTGCTGCTGGCCTGATTTTCTGTGATGATGGCAACAACCTGATTCCTGGAGGTAAAACTCGACTCTCTCTCTCAAGATGCTTGGTAAGAATTGTAGCGACAGCACATATAACTAATTCATTAACTTAGATCTCAAATTTACTTCTTACTTATAAGACTGGTTCATTTTAGTTGTATAAAAAAGAACTATGTCTTGAGCAAAGTCCTCCTCTTTTCGTTTTGCAAAATGAAGGAAAACTCACAAGTTGCAATTGCTCCAATTCTTAACCTAAAAGACCCCAATTGGGCAGTGGGAAGTACAAAGTATAGCACTGCTAAGAAATTAAAGCAAAGGGCTGGTGCTGGAGCCCAGAGCGTTGCCTAGCATGTGTGAGGCACTGGGTTCAATCCTTTGCACCACATAAAAAATGAAACAAATAAAATAAAGGCATGCTGTCCACCTACAACTAAAAAAAAAAAAAAGGAAATAAATGAAGTAATGATTATAGTGATGGGGGAAATCAAAGCTGATGCCCAAATAGTTCATTTCATTAGCTCAGAATGTGTATTTACCAACCTGGTATGAATTTCAGAGGCATTCCTAAATTTCATTTTGTTTGTTTTTGTTTTTTAGGGTTTCACTTACTCCTTTGTTTTATTTTTACCTTAAAGCTACTTAACACTAATTAGTATATTGAATGTTTTATATTTCTAAAACAAACGTATGCCATGAGATAAATGAGCTGAGGAGAAACTTTGATAAAGAAAAAAATATAAACAGAAGCAGGAAAAGTGAAAGTTTGGTCTTTCTGCAGAGTCCACATACTCAGGCAATGTTGAAATTCAGCACAATGGGGACAGAAAAGGAAGACATAATTTCACTGGATTCTTGGAGGCGCTCATTCTCAATTGAAAGCTCCCAAGCAGTCCTCCAAATTCCAATTTTTTATGATCCCTTAGATCAATTTGTTAAAGGACGTAAATGTTAATCGTTAATGTCTGATTATCTATCTTGTTTTCTTTAAGCATTACCTGTTTCCATGGGCATAAGAAGAGTCTCTGGCTGGGATATCATGGAAGAAGTTTCTGAACTGGTAGACTTCTGACAAGATTAACGACCCCCAGGTTTTCTCCTAATTTCAAGATTCAACAAAAGTTCTGGAATGTTCTTGGGTTGATTTTGTTTTGTTTTGTTTTAATTCCACAGCCTTTGGCATTCCAGTTCAGAGGACAAGTCTGATAGTCTCCATTCCTTTCATTTTATCAACTCTTAACAAAAGCTACTAGGCTCAGGCCAAAGGGGTATTTTGACATGAACAATGCTTCTCAGGAAAAGAAGTGCCCAAATTTTTATCCTGTTATTTGAGTGAAAGTTCTAAGTCCTTCCCTGATGTTCCCTGGAATTGTGATTTAATGACTAGTCACACCAGAACGGAACACATGTTTCTACTTGCAAGATTATTAAGCACATTACACAGTTCCATTATTGCCTTCCTGAGTCACCCTGCATGTACTAGTGTCTGCGTAGATTGCTTTTCAAAGGGTTTAATAGAGAAAAGTGTTAGAATACGTGTAATTAAATTCACTTATTTTTACTTTAGCTTTTAATTATTTTTAATGTATTGACCACAGAGTAAGGAGAAAGTATAGTAAAGAAAAAACAATATCAGCACTTAATGTGGAAGGTTATTGTTATTGTTTTACTAATAGAATTTTGAGTTACATAAGTGAACTGGATATACATCAATCAACAATTTTCTCTAACAGGGATTCTTACGTTTTGAAGTATTTACCTTTAGAAAAGTATCTGTTTCAATAAGAATGATTCCCCAGGCTGAGGCTGTGGCTCAGTGGTAGAATGCTTGCCTAGCATGTGTGAGGCACTGGGTTCGATTCTAAACACCACATATAAATAAATAAAGGTTCATCAACAACTAATAAAATATTTTAAAAAAAAAGAATTATTCCCATAAAAATTCTATGTGTTTTAGAATTTTATATTGAAAGCTCCTCTTAGGCAATCCCAATAAGCATACTGGAAATTAATATAAAAATTTGACATTCAACTTCTAAGAATTTAAAACATCTCTAAGATGATGTACAATCAATCAACAAATACAAGAAAAAATGTTCATCATCACCAGCAATTAGAGAGATGCAAATCAAAACCACTGTAAGATTTCATCTCATTCTAGTCAGAATGGCAGCTATTATGCCAATAACAAAAGTGTTGGCGAGAATGTGGGGGGAAAAGTACACTCACACACTGCTGGTGGGACTGCAAATTGGTGCAGCCAATATGGAAAGCAGTATGAAGATTTCTTGGAAAATTGGGAATGGAACCACCATCTGACCCAGCTATTCCTCTCCTCAGTCTATGCCCAAAGGACTTAAAAACAGCATACTACAGGGACACAGCCACATCAATGTTTATAGCAGCACAATTCACTATAGCTAAACTGTGGAAGCAACCTAGATGTCCTTCAGTAGATGAATGGATTTAAAAAAATGTGGCATTTATACACAATGGAATATTAGTCAGTAATAAAAGAGAATAAAATCATGGCACTTGCAGGTAAATGGATGGAATTAGAGAAGATAATGCTAAGTGAAGTTAGCCAATACCAAAAAACTAAATGCTAAATGTTTTCTTTGATATAAGGAGGCTGATTCATAGTGGGATAGGGAGCAGGAGCATGGGAGGAATAGACAACTCTAGATAGGGCAGAGGGGTTGGGGGAAAGGGAGGGAGCATGGGGTTATTAATGATGGCAGAATGTGATGATCATTATTATCCAAAGTACAGGTATGAAGACACAAATTGGTGTGAATATACTGTGTATACAATCAGAAATACGAAAAAATGTGCTCTATATGTGTAATAAGAATGGTAATGCATTCCACTGTCATATATAAATAATAAATAAATAAATAAATAATAAAAATAAAATGTCTCTAATTCTAGCCCTGAAACCAGATTACTCCAGTGGAAAAAAATCCTCAAAAAAATTCTATTACACATTTTAAGATTAAAATAAAAATACATGTACATGGTAAAAAGAGATCAGAAAGAGATAAAATAAAGCATAAGACACTTCCTCTACCCTCTCTCTCAGTCTTTCTCCCCAAAGGGAACTGAGTTTCTTCTCTATACTTTTGAAATATGGGGAGCAGAGTCAGTTAAGGTCCCTGACCTCAAGGGGACTACACCCTAGTGGAAGAGCAATTATTAAGGAAGTGATCAGACAAGCAATGATACCATTGCAATGTGGCAACTGTCTACAAAGGAAATATTATGGTTTGAATTTTTAAATGCTCCCACAAAGATCCATGTATTGAAGCTTGGACACCAGCAGATGGTGCTGCTGGGAGGTGGTGGGATATTTAGGAGGTGTGGCCTAGTGGTAGGAAGTTAGGTCATTGGGGATGTGCCCTTAAAGGGGATAGTAGGACCTTGGCCCCTTCTTCTCTCTGTCAGCTTCCCAGCCACCATCAAGTAAACCAGAGTGCTCTACCATTTGCTTCTACCATGATGGGGCCAACCAACCGTGAACCCTTAAAACCATGAACAAAATAAATCTTTCTTCATTATAAGTTGATTTTTCTCAGGTGTTTTGTTACACTAATGGAAAGCTGACTAACACAGGAAAGCTATAAGATGCTATGAGATCCTACAGCTAGGATGCCTGACCAGCAGGTGAGTAGCATTCCAAATTTAAGTAACACTGGGGTTGAAAGCCAAAGGCAAGAGAAGAATAAAGTAGGTCAAGAGGATCAGGTAGGCATGTACAAAGGCCACATGGTGGAAGGTTGGCACATATGAAAGACTGAAAGAGAGAAAAGAAGTCCTGGGGAGAAATAAGGTCAAGAGGTAGATAGAGCCAGATCATGAAAAGATTTACAAACCATGTCATAGTTGTGCTTCTAAGAGCATCAGAATGACTGAACAATACCTAACATCCATTTTATCCTTTAGTGTGACTATAAAGACTGGAAAACTAAAAACTGTATTCGCAGACACAGTTGCAGCTAGGGAATTGGATGCAATCGAAGTGCAGGCAGTCAGATTCACTCACATGAAATCTGGAAGGTGAAGATGAGGCAAAGTCAGGTCTAATTGCTTCTGCAGTTTCTGCAGCTGAGCATGATCAGGAGAATGACTAGAAAGTGCTTTGGTGTCCATAGACCTAGTGGTCTAACAGGATGCAGAGTTTTAAAATTCAATTTATTTGTTTTAGCTATGCAAATGTAGGAGGAGCAGCACCACACTGGAGCCAACAAGTGTGGCAGTAGCAACACCCTCATACTTGGGCTGCTTCTAAGGTAAGTTATGAGCCCACAGTTCCAATGGCAGCTCCCTGTTTCCCCCCTTTGTGATGGAGATAACTGTTCCCTTAGTAAATCAATCCTATCATGTTCTTAGAGTCATTTCTGGAGATGCAATCTAGCACCTATTCCCCATGTCTCCTAATAGAGTTTTAAGCCCTGAATTCCCTGTATTGGATCATATTTTTCTTAAAAGAGTCATAGTTAAAAGTGTTCTGATCTCCAATTACTCAGTCATATCCTTTATAGTAATCTCCTTCTATAATTTGATCCACGATCACACATCTTAGTCTCTTTTAATCTGTAACAATTCCTCAGCTACTTTTCTTTTTAAAATCTTTTATGACCTTAACATTTTTGAAATATACAGGCCAGTTGTCTTGTTCCTTGTCAAAAGGAACACAGTCTTAATACTATCAATCTATCATCTTTATTTCCTCATTTTCAATGCCATATATGGACCTGAATCATATGTATTCTGCCATGTACTCTTCTGTTTCCTCCACAGAGCTGTTTATTAAGGCAGCAAATATGTAATGGCTGTCTAATCCATTCCAGGTACTGTGCTAGGTGCAGAAGACTGTGAGCAAAACAGACAAATAGTGCTCGGTTACAGATGTTAATATAGGCACTTTAACCAAGGGTCTTTGTGCTATAAAAAATGAGAAGCTAGCTGGGCATGGTGGCACAAACCTGTAATCCCAGGACCTCAGGAGGCTGAAGCAGGAGGATGGCAAGTTCGAAGCCAGCCTCAGCAAAAGTGAAGTGCTAAGCAACTCACTGAGACCCTGTCTCTAAATAAAATATAACATAGGGCTGGGGTTGTGGCTCAGTTTGTCGAGTGTCCCTGAGTTCAATTCCCAGTACACCCTCCCCTGCAAAATGAGAAGCTACTCTTGAAAATATAAACAAAAATAGAAATTTATTGGAAAGCTACAACTGGAAGAGTTAAACACCCAAGCCCTAGATAGAGCAGGATCAGGCATTTGTGAACTTTTTAGAGTGATAACGCCATTCTAGTGACTTAGCCTCAACAAGTCCCAACTACTGTGTCCCACACACAATTCATGCCTAAAGTTAATGGGGAAGAGAACCTCATCAGCCTGAGATGAAGAATCTATTCCTGCCTCATCCAATTAACTATGGCCAGAGTAACAGGTTCCTGTGGCTCAAATACGCCCAAGGGGAGCCTGCCCTATATATCTGAGTCTTCCCAGAAACTATGCAATTTTGGTGAAGGGACCAGAGTGGACACTCCAGCTAGTTTCTACATTATACAGTTCTAACACTTACATAGGTTCAGGGTTGATATTGGAAATATTTAAATGACTGGAGGTATAGCTCAATGGTAGAATGCTTTCCTAGCACGCATAAGGCCCTTGGTTCAATCTCCAGCCCCACCAAAAAAGAGAGAGAGAGAGAGAGAGAGAGAGAGAGAATAAAATTAAGAATTGCTGTGGCACAGGCACTGACTATTCAGAATAAATGATGGCAATATCTCAGGGACAGGCTCTAGGAGAACACTTGGTAGGCCAGGCATTAACACTTCTTGTTTGGTTGTTTGGTTTGGTTTTTGAGACAAGATCTTGCTCAGTTGCCTATGGCCTCACTAAATTGCTGAAGCTGGCTTTGAACTTGTGAACCTCCTGCTTCAGCCTCCCAAGCTCCTGGGATTACAGGCCTGTGCCACTGTGCCTAGCTACATTAACCCTTTAGCTATTACATCATGAGATTGGGGGAATCCCGTAGAGAGGCTGAGAAGAGATGGAGTTTGGGGGAATTTTCCTATAAGCTCAGGCGCCCTAGAGGGAAACTCTCAGATGAATATCCATTCATGCAGAAGTGGTTTATTAAGGAAATGTTCCCAACAAAGTCTGTTAAAGTGAACAAAGCAGTCAATGAGGAGAGGGAAGTCAAGCAAGGATGCCATAATAGAGTTTGCCAAAGAAACAGAACCAATAAGATATATAGGTTTAGATAGATACAGAGAGAGAGAGAGATGGAGATGGAGGAAGATTTATCGTAGGGGAATTGGTAAGTGCCCTTACAGAAGATGAGAAGTCTTATGATCTGCTATCTGTAAGCTGAGGACCAAGGACAGCCAGTGACATAGACCAAGTCCAAAGGCCTGAGAACCAGGAGAGCTGATGGTGTGATACAAGTCCAAGGGCAAAGACCAATGTCCCCATTCAAGCAGGCAGACAGGAAGCAAAAGGGAAAAATTCCTTCTTCCTCTGTATCTTTTTTCTCTCCATACTCTCAAAGGATTTGATGATTCCCCACCCACAGCCTGGGAGGGCCATCTGCTTTACTCCGTCTACAAATTCAAATACTAGTCTTATTCAGAAACATCCTCACAGACACACGCCAAATAATACCAATTATCTGGGCATCCCGTGTCCTAGTCAAGTCAACACAGAAAACCATCACAGACGCCAGCTCAGGTGAAGCCCCACAGATGCCAGCTCTAGCTTGATCCTGTGGGGTGCTCCGGAGCACATGCTATAATGCCACAGAGTTCTCTCAGCCAGAGAAAGGAGTCCAGTCACCAGACCTGTCAATCATTGTTCAAGGACTCTAGAGGACAGGGATAAAATCCCCAAGCACTTCTGGTGTTCTGTGCCCTCCTGAGATGAACTGCCAAAGAGCTACAGATGCTGGCTGCTGGTAGGATGGGAAATGGAATCCTGACATCATCTGTGCCCGTGGGATTAGGGCAGTGGCTACTTACCAAATGGTTCATAAGGGTTTGAACATTTTAACGATCATTATAGCCAAACCAGGTCTGACAGCTGAATGTCACATAATGTCACATGAATATGAGGCATAAACCACAGAGCAAGACAAGCCAAACAGTGATCCCGTCTCTTCGCCCAACTAGCTGGAGGATGGTAAAAAGTCACAGCCAGCTGGGCATGGTGGCTCACGCCTATAATCCCAGCAGCTCGGGAGGCTGAGGAAGGAGGATCGTGAGTTTAAAGCCAGCCTCAGCAAAAGCAAGGTGCTAAGCAACTGAGTGAGACCCTGTCTCTAAATAAAATATAAAATAGGGCTAGGGATGTGGTTCCATCGTTGAGTGCCCCTGAGTTCAATCCCTGTACCAAAAAAAAAAATCACAGCCATCCTAAGGCATTAGTTTCCCTCACTATAAAACCAAGGGTTGAAGGTAGATGAATTATTTAATCTCCAAATAAATAGAATAAAGGTCCATCGACAATTAAAAGAAGAAGAAGAAGAATCTAGCCTCACCTTCCTATTCCCTGATCTCTATTTAGGGAATAGAGATCCCCATATGTAGCATATCATGATACAGCCAAAAAGAAAATAGAAAATCAGCATGCAATTTTTCTGTAATTCTGAGACTTTATGCACAAGAACCAAAATACATAACTGT